TGACTAAAGTATTTTCCATTTTCCCTGAGTTTGCAAAATGTTGCTATAGTGTGAAATCTTGCCTTATGTATAATAAGAGATGAATGATATTTAAAGGCTTTGCCACATGATTTACATTTGCAAGGCTTTGCTCCAGTATGAATTGTCTGATTTAGAGTACAGCAATCTTTATGTGTATAAGGTTTTTCTCCACTATGAACTTTTTGGCATCTATTTAGATTGATTATTTGACTGAAGACTATCCCACACGGATTCCATTTGTGAGCCTCCTCCGTAACATGTATATTCTCATGTTCACGGTATTGTGTAGACTGCTGAAAATACTGGATACATTTACGTTGCTCCAGTATGAATTGTCTGATTTAGAGTACAACCTGAAGGCCAAATAGACGTTTTAACAGAATCTTTACGTGTATAAGGTTTTTCTCCACTATGAACTTTTTGGCACACTCTCTACATTTATAAGGCTTCTCTCCAGTGTGGACTCTCTGATGTAGATTAAGGGAAGAGGAAGACATAAAGGCTTTGCCACATTCTCTACAGTTATAAGGCTTCTCTCCAGTATGAATTCTCTGATGTATATCAAGTCTTTTGGACTCATTGAAGGCTTTGCCACATTCTCTACATTTATAAGGCTTCTCTCCAGTATGAACTCTCTGATGATAAGTGAGGTGTGAGGACCGGATAAAGGCTTTGCCACATTCTTTACATTTATAAGCCTTATCTCCAGTGTGAATTTTATGATGGCGAATAAGTTTTGAGGAATCACTGTAAAATTATAGACAAAAAATAAATACAAAACATTAATTGTCAGAGGAAGAATGAATCTTTGTTTAAAAGATTCCCAAACTGCCCAGCCATCATGCCTCAGTGGTTAAGCTTTGACATATGAACAAGATCATAATTCCATTCCCAGTAAGGGGACATGGCCTGCCTGTGAGAATGGTCCTTAGTCAGTATGAACTCTCTGATGTATATTAAGGGAGTACGAACATGTAAAGGCTTTGCCACATTCTCTACATTTATAAGGCTTCTCTCCAGTATGAACTCTCTGATGACGATTAAGGCAGAAGGATTGGCTAAATACTTTGCCACATTCTCTACATTTATAAGGTTGCTCTCCAGTACGAACTCTCTGATAACTAAGGGATTCGGACTGCCTAAAGGCCTTGCCACATTCTCTCCTCTCTGAAATCAATAAAGATATATTTTTTAATAAAAAATATCATTAAAAAAATCGCCGAAACCGGTTTGGCTCAGTGGATAGAGCGGTGGCCTGCGGACTGAAAGGTCCCAGGTTCGATTCCGGTCAAGGGCATGTACCTGGGTTGCGGACACATCTTCAGTAGGGGATGTGCAGGAGGCAGCTGATCGATGTTTCTCTCTCATCGATGTTTCTAACTCTCTAACTCTCTCCCTTCCTCTCTGTAAAAAATCAATAAAATATATTTTAAAGAAATATATCATAAAAAATTGCCAAATTCAGCACATTTTAATTTTATGGATACATTATGAATCTATATATTTTAGAAATGATCAGGTTTCTCTCCAGTGTGAATTCTCTGATGAATAGTAACGGTTGAGGGCCGGCTAAAGGCTTTGTCACATTCTCTACATTGATATGGCTTCTCTCCAGTATGAACTCTCAGATGTCGGTTAAGGTTTGCAGACTCACTGAATGCTTTTCCACATTCTGTACATTTATAAGGCTTCTCTCCAGTATGTATTCTCTGGTGTCGATTAAGGTTTGTGGATTCACTGAATGCTTTGCCACATTTTGTACATTTATAAGGCTTCTCTCCAGTATGAACTTTCCGATGTCGAAACATGTTTGACGTGTGGAGGAATGCTTTACCACATTCTCTACATTTATAAGGCTTACCTTCAGTATGAACACTATGATGATTAGTAAGACCTGTATGGTTGTTAAAGGCTTTGACACATTCTCTATGTTTATAAGGTTTCTCTCTAGTGTGAATTCCTTGATGAAGAATAAGGTTTGAGGGCCGACTAAAGGTTTTGCCACATTCTGAGCATTTATAAGACTTTTCTTGAATATTATTTGTATGATGTTGGGTATGTCTTGAGGACTGACTAAAGTCTTTTCCATTTTCCCTGAGTTTGCAAAATGTTGCTATAGTGTGAAATCTTGCCTTATGTATAATAAGAGATGAATGATATTTAAAGGCTTTGCCACATGATTTACATTTGCAAGGCTTTGCTCCAGTATGAATTGTCTGATTTAGAGTACAACCTGAAGGCCAAATAGACGTTTTAACAGAATCTTTACGTGTATAAGGTTTTTCTCCACTATGAACTTTTTGGCATCTATTTAGATTGATTATTTGACTGAAGACTATCCCACACGGATTCCATTTGTGAGCCTCCTCCGTAACATGTATATTCTCTTGTTCACGGTATTGTGAAGACTGCTGAAAATACTGGATACATTTACTTCCTTTGTGGGTCTTCTCCACAATAGGAATAACCTGACGTATATTGTGATTGGACATTTGGTCAAATGCTTTTCCACTTTTACAATGGTCCTCTGCAAGCTCATTTGTCCGATGATTAAGATATGGCTCTTTCTTAAAGTTGTTCCAATGTTCATTCCATTGATAACTGCTATCTCCATTATGTGTACTCTGGTGATAATGGGAGATAGAACGACCTTTACTGACAGTTATAATTTTATGAAAAATGCTTGTTCCATAAGAACCATTCTGTGATACTCATTAAACCAAGATGGTTGTATAGGAAGAGCTTTCCTAATTCATTAAAATTATAGACATAAAATAAA